TCTTTATTTTGTGCTGTTTTTATTAAATTTATATAATTGTTCATTACTGTTACTAGATGTTAATTATTTAGCAGTTGTAACAAATATAGTAATTAAACAAACAAAAAAATTAAATTAAATTGGCACATTTAAAGTTTCAAGATAATGATATCTTACTACCAGGCTCGATTTTTATTAATTCAGTAATTTTTTAATTACAAAGCAAAATTTGATTATTTATTTTTAAATTATATTGTTATATGGCATAATTGACAGATTGAAAAAATTGAGGGAATGAAAAATTTCAATTAAATCAATCTCTCTATATTTTTTTGCAAAAATTGCTCTTCATGCAAACCATTTATAAACTATGTACACTGTTTGTGCGCATCGGAAAATATTTGTACAATGGAAAATGTGAGGGAAGGGCAACCCTTGATAAATGTTTTTTTAAGTAAAATTTATGTTTTATCATAAGGTCTGGAAAATATGAAAAATTCAGTAAATAATAACACTGATGACAAAGCGTGCTGAAAAATTAAAAGATTACTAAAAAGGCTATTATGAAATAGAGATTTGAGAGAGATAAAAAAATAAAATATAGAATATCGCCCCAACATTAAAAATAAGTATTAGGGTTGGACAACCCTTGAAAAAATAAATTTAATACGGGCACGAAGAATCTAACAGGAAAATTTTATAAATACGCATAGTACGGTTCTTCTATAACACAGATTCGCTCTAACACGGTTTAGTAATTGAGATCATCTCCTCAGAACACGGTATTTTTAAAGCACGGTCCATTAAAATTAGTAAAACCGCCGTACAGGAGATCAATAAAAGTGATGATACTAGTGCTACAGATAATTAATTTGGTATTTATTATTCGAGCGCGTACGTTCTCAAGATTTCATATTTCTTAAACAAAGATCCTTTAAATAAAATGAGTATAAACTAGTAGGGTGCATGGCATCGTGCCTTAAGGCAAATTGGTGGAACTTCCAGTACCGTAATTAAAAATCTTGGTACAGAACCCAAAGAAATTGACACAACATGTGTACATATTATTAAAATTTCTATAAAATATCTGATAATTTGATGTACATATGTTCAGTAAACATTTTTGATTGCCAAATGACATTTTTAACTTCCCGTAGGGCAAGTTATAGTAATCGCAAAAAAATTGAAAATGAAAATTTTTATACATCTTTACGTTTCAAAGGTTTCTAAACATTTTGGCATACCTTAGAAAAACTGATGTATGTGTGTGTGCGGATACAAATTTTCGTCAAGGATTGCGAGAACACGGTTCAACCGATTTCAATTATTCAAAAAGTATTCGATTTCTATTAATAAGGAGACAGGAGAGCTGATTAGTTTTTGGCAAAGGTAGGTCTAGCCGTTTCGAAGATACGGGGCAAAAGTGCCAAAGATGGTAACTCGGTTTTTAAGAAAACGAAATGTCCGATTTTATTAATTCAAAAAACATTTTACTTGTATTGACAAGATGAACTGATCAAATTTTCATGAAGGCAGGTCTAGCGGTTTCCGAGTTCGAGTGAAAAAAGTAAAAAAAAATTTAAAAATTTGGTCAAAAATGATCATTATACATATGCATATCAAATTATCAGATATTTTGTAGAGATTTTATTAATGTGAATAAATTTTGTTTACATTTCTATGGATTCCGTACCATCGTTTGCGCGTTAGACGGAGGCGTGGCGCTTACGCGCTTCGATAATTCGTCCCTAAGCAGCTAAAGCAGTGCGATTGCTTAAAAAAAAACTAAATTTCCAAAATATTTCAAAATAAAAAAAATCAACAGTTTTTTTTCCAAAAAAGTCAATCTTTTTCAAAAATTTAAAATTTCTCAAAAATATAATTTTTTCAAAGATTAAAAATTAAATTCAATCCTTAAAAAAAATTTTGGTTCGGGAAGTTCCAGCAATTTGTCTTAAGGCACGATGCCATACCACTAGTTGTACTAGTTCTTTGTCCCGTATAACACGGATTTGCATAACACGCTACTTTTTTGGAATGTAACTACCGTGTTATGCGCGGATTACCTGTATAAGATGACACTTGCTTCAGTGAATCTAAAATATATTTTTACGATAAATCAAATTATTAAAATCTTGAAAATAACATTAATGATTAATTAATAAAATGAATTAATAAATATTGTGCAAATTTAAATTTACATTATTAACTTCACAAATACTTTGATAAAATACTGAAATCGATATTAATAGATATTTTTTCTGATTCGGAAGATGAAACTAGTAGGTAAGAACAATGAAGTTATCTATATAATACATAATTGAATAATGATAACCACATAAATTTGTTAAAATATATATTATCATTATCATCAGAATCAGATTTAATAATTCATGGTTCCAAATCCTTCCTCGCCAAGTGGATTTGGGGGCTTGAACTGTTCGGCTGAGAATCTTGTAAGTAATATTGATACTCCTAAAAATATAACAATATTATATATATATATATATATATATATATATATATATATAAATGTTAAATATGAACAATACAATACTGTTCTCTCTCTAGATACTTAAGATTTGTTTAGAATATTTCTGTAAATGTCACATGTTTTTTAGTACTGAGTCAAGCATTGCAAGGAATAGTTCGTGTCTTCTGTATATCAAAAATTAAATGTAGTTTAAATAAAATTTTAAAGAATGTGTAGTATATAAGTAACTGTTTTTGAAATTGCACAGAAGATGAAGCATACCATGATCTCGAAACGCGCCTGTAATTACCAAATAAAGTGTGTGTTAAAAATCTGAGTGTTGTATTGTTCTTATTTAACATTTAATATTCGTTCCACTCATATCACAAAATTCTATATATATATATATATATATATATATATATATTATATCAATTATATCTTTACCTTCTATTAAAGCCAGAATAGCTCCTCCGATAACGGCGCTCCCGGCCATGGCTGCTAAACCGTTTCTGGCAGCCAAAACGCCCCCCGTTAGGGCTCCCGAGGCAATCGAATTCCACGGATCCTCTTTTTTGCGGATGCACACCAGGGCGCAGTCTATTGTGCTGAACATTCCGCCCCATATTGCAAAATTACCTAGAGGAAAAAATTATAAATATATATATATATATATATATATATATATATATTTCAAAGTAACTAGCAGCCCATTCGTCGAAACAAAAAAGGTATAAAGTATAAAAACTTTTATTTATACGTTTCGACACAAGATGCGTGTCATCATTCAGCGTGTCATCATATCGAAAAAAATAGTGACTTTAGAAAATTTGCTGAATCCTTTTTTATTTCATTAAATTCCTCTTGTGTTAATAAACGCAAATTATCCCACCTTTTACATGATAGTTACCAGATTGTTATTGATTTCATTAAAAAAACAAAAAATTAATTTGCTATCTCCTTTATATTATTTTTTACAATTTTGTTTTTTCTTGTTCTAACTTCTACATGGTTTGCTTTTTCCTTTTGATCAATTCCAGTTCAACCACTGTTTTCGATGCGTTCCGTGCTTCGAGCATTTGTCCTTGATACGTTCCCTCCCATTCCTATCAATACGCCTATTGAAATAATTCAGTCGAGTATGTTTGCTCGGTATGGGCGTGTTTCTCGCTTCACAATGTTACATTTCATAACTTTTAGTCAAATTAGTTTTCAAATCTTTTAGTTATTCATAATTTTTTCTAAAAAAATGCTTTTCTCTAATATGTTATTAAGTTTAATTTTTAAAATAAATTTTTGTTGAGTGTTTTTGTCCTGTGGTGTGTATAATGTTTCTCTATGTTATAATTAATCTATATTGGTGTTTATATTAGTTAATAAAATTTTCAAATTGTTGTAGTTGCTGAATGATGACACGCATCTTGTGTCGAAACGTATAAATAAAAGTTTTTATACTTTATACCTTTTTTATTTCGACAAATGGGCTGCTAGTTACTTTGAAATATGTTTCAACGTCGAAAAAACTATCAAGATATATATATATATATATATATATATATATATATCCTTTATCTTACCAGCTATTATAGGAGACCTCGACTTGATGGCCCCAACGCTGGCCGCCAATCGTCTGCCGAATCCCGACGGGGCGTTCCGGAAGCCTCTGATGGACTGAAAGAGGCCCCCGCCAATGCAACCCATTGCAAAGGCGCCGCCGCAGTCATCTACAATGCGCCACGGACAGGGCTCTCGGGAGTACTCTTCCATTTTTGGTCAATCAGATAGGGACGAAGGTGTACAGGATTGAACACTGATAAAGGTAGGGAAATAATATTAATCTTATCTTATATATAAAATTCTTCTGTACGGGTGTATGATTTGATACTTCTCCTGAACGGTTATTCGGATTTTTATAAATCTTTCTGATGTTTGTTAAGGGATTTTTATAGGATGTATGCAGTGGTGTTGCCGAGCCGGAACGCGCCGGAACGTCGTTCCGGTATATCATTTTTGAGTCGGAATGCGTTCCGGCAAAAGAAATTTAAGAAAAAATCGCTACACATAGAAAATGATTTCATAAGTGAATTTTATAATTTATAATTTATAGTTTTACTAATTTTTATTAAACGTTTCTGAGTTTTGTAATGATTTTCGTTTTTTTTTTCGAACGAAACCGGTACATACATGAAAACCGGTTTCGGAACCGGTTTTTTAATTTTAGCGTTCCGGTAAAAAAAATATTAGCACAACACCACTGGATGTATGTGATTATAGAAATATAGTTAGATTGTAGAAATAAATGAAAAAAATTGCACAAAACGTCATGTCATTGAAAATATTCGAGACATTGTTTGGCATTAAAACCAAATGAAAACGGTAATATGTCAAAAATTTCAATTTACTTACGAGCCTAGACAATATTAGAATATGTATAATAAATTCATGTTTATGAATGAGAAAAATGAAATGTTTACATTATTATTGCCAAAAAGCAGTTAAGATGTGCCAGAAATTAAAATGATATGAAATACAGTACATGTATGGCAGATTGAATGATACACATATAAATAGGATTTGACAAATTGATTCACTTAAAATATGAAATAAAATAATAATCAGGGCAGGTCCTACCTTGAATGAGTGCACGCCTTAGGGGGCGCCAACACAAGATTCGGATATGAAATTTTTAATATAGTTTTTTTTTTCAATATAATTCAAGAAATACATAATTTCTTTGCATTTTTTACTAATCTTTGCACAATATTTTTGAAATAAGTTAAAAATTTCACTTTAAAACAACAAATGGGAAAGTAAAGATGAATACATAATACATACAATTCGGCCCTTATGATATCAATCAGGAGAAGTTTAAGATGCAGATTTGATATTATACGCTTGAATAATATATAACAATCGCTTTATAATGCAATACACATACACAATTTGAAAAAAATGTATGGCGTAGGTTCAATTTTTAACAAAAAACTGGTTTTACTATTTTTCTGAATTTGTTATACCGTTCAAAAGACTTCAATGACCAATATAGTATGAAAATTGAGACACTCTTATTTAAAGCAGTTCCACATTTAACATCGCTCATATATGAATTTGGTGTGAAAAGTAATTTAAAAAATAATAATTATTATTTTTAGGTAAACGGTAAATATTAGTATATTATATTAAAAAATTGTAGACGTGGGTACAGGACAACGTCTTTCGGGTCAACTGTATATATATATATATATATATATATATATATATATATATAAAGAATAAGTCATGTTTTTCTGCTACTCTTTGACAGTTGGGTGAAATGTACATAAAATGGCGGCGCATAAAATTAAATGCAGTAACAAAATGGCGAAACATGGACGTGAAGTTGGTGCTAAATGTCGCTCAAAATAACCGTTAACTTTTGAAATATTCTTATTTATTCATATATATATATATATATATATATATATATATATATATATATATATATATATATATATATATATATATATATATATATAAATAAATTATCATTATTACTATTTCTTTTACTTACATTCATCCATTAACATCGATCATCTTGTCTAAATTAAAAATTTCAATTTTGCACAAAATTCTTTCTACTTAAGAGAAACTAAAACATTAACAATAATTATACAATTTTTATAATTCGAGTTAAAAAAATCCTATTAATAAAAATTGAAATTTCGTTCTGTCAAAAACAAATTCAAATCGCGTCAAAACAAAATTGAAAATTGTATTATATTATTGGAAATTAAATTAGAAAGATTTTTAAAAATGGATTTGGAGTTTTGTAATTTTTTTTTGTAGTTGACAAATGAATGGCTGATTTTTAAATATAATTCGAAAAGGACATATGTAATATTAAGATTTTTTTGTGGTCATTTCAAAATAATTTTTACAATGGTGTGCAGGTAAACAGAAGCTAGCAGACTCTTTACACAATTTGTAAGGTACATTTTGCTTAGAAAATCGTTATTATGTCGAATTTTGGTAATAAAATTATTGATTAAATAATTTGTTAATACAATACATATATTAAAGAGCACCTTGTCCAAATTTTGAGGCTCTACTACCAAAGAAGTCTTTTTTAGAGTCTTCTAAACAAGAGCTCAAGACACTTCTATATTGTTTGTAAGGCACTTGCAATTTTTCACTGGTACTTTATTCAGAAAATCGTTACTGTTTGAAATTTTAATAACAAAATTATTAATTTAGTTAATTGTTATTTTTATAGTAGATATATTGATGAACACAATTTCCAAATTTTGAGACTTTTCTACCAAAGGAGTCTCTTGTAGACCCTTCTAAACACAAGTTCGAGACGCATTTCATTTTTATGGGTACTTTGTTCAATAGAACGTTATATATACAATACAATACAATAAATATATTTAAGTGTACCGTGTGCAAATTTTGAGACTCTTCTATAAAAGAAGTCTCTTGTAGAGCCTTCTAAACAGGAACTCGAGACACATTTTATTTTTATTGGTACTTTATTCAATAAAACGTCATTGCCTCGAAGTTTCAATAACAAAATTATTAATTTAACTATTTGTTAATACAATACATATATTCATGTATCCAATGTCCAAATTTTGAGACCTTACTCTCAAAGGAGTCTTGTTTAGAGCCCCTAAACAGCTCGAAAAGCTCGAGACACCTGCAATTTGTTAAGAAAATTGTTATTGTCTCAAAATGTAATAAGAAAATTATTAATTTATTTATTTGTTGTTATGATAGATATATTGTAGAGCAACATGAGACTTTTTTGTCAGCTGAGTCTTTTATAGAGCCCCCTAAACAGAAGCTCGAGACACTTATACATATTCTGTGAAGCTTGTTCAATTTGTTAAGCAAAATGTTATTGCTTCAAATTTTATTACCAAATTATAAATTTGATAATTTGTAATTGTTATAGATGCATTGAAGTACGATGTGTTTGAATTGTAAGATTCTTCTATCATCAGAGCCCCTCGTAGAGCCCCATAAACAGGAACTTGGGACTATCTGTGCGGCAAAACCAATTTTAGAAAATTATTATTTTAATAATTTAATAATTTGTGGTTTTTATAGAAACATTGAAGATCAACATATAAAAATTAGGAAACTCTTCCAACATTGGTGTTTTTTATATAGCCCCCTAAATAAGAAGCTTGAGACAGTTTTATATTATTTGTAAGGTATGTTCAATTTGTTAAGAAAATCCTTATTGCATCAAATATTAATAACAAAATTATGAATTTAATAATTTGTTATTTTTATAAATATATTGAAGTCCAACATATCCAATTTAGGAGATTCTTCTAACGTCGGTGTGTCCTGTAGAGCCCCCTTAATAGATTTATTGCAAGATCAATTGGGAATTGCATTGATTGGTTATTAGTGTAAGCGAAAAGTTTATTTACGAAATATAAGGTTGAAAATTGTATTTAAATATATAAATCTATATTTTTATTAATTATTTACTACTTAAAGCAAAATACCATTTACAATCATAGTTTTTAAATATTTAATTTCAAAAATCGCGCCATTTTGATGCACCAATCAAGCTCGCGCGATAAGTCAGCAACTTCACACCAGGCGTAAAATCTGCTTACAAAATCTTTCATAAATTTTGCAAAAAATAAACGTACTTTGACCGTTTTTTTGCAACAAAAAGGGATAATTTTAAATTACATATTTTTTTCCTAAATATCTCATTAATTTTTCTTTATAAAACTTTTACAAGATTTTTTAAATATTTATTTTCAAAAATCCCGCCATTTTGATGCACCGATCAAGCGCGCGTGTTACGTTAGCAACTTCACATTAGGCGTAAAATCTGCTTATAAAATCTTTCATAAATTTTGCAAAAAAAAAACGTACTTTGACCGCTTTTTTGCAACAAAAAGCGATAACCTTAAATAACACATTTTTTTTTTCTAAACATCTCATTAATTTTTTTATAAAAATTACCATCTTTTACACAATAGCAAAATTAATCGAAGCGTGACATCTACGTGTAACACTTCGTCTATGTTCGCCTAGAAAGACATACGTCAAATGGAGTTGTCGCAAAAAATAATATATTTATTTAATTAGCTTATTTAATAGTGTTTTAATGGTGATTGTGTGGTTTTCAGTTAGTTTTAAATTAGTGTTGTGTGATATTTGATGCAGTATTAAGGTAAGTCTATTATTTATTATATATTTTATGCAACCGGTGCTAAATTTGTTAGGTTATGTTACGTTAAAGGAATTTTAGGAATGATGTTTTGGTTTATTGTAATTGTGAAATGTCGGGAGTGTTTATTAAATGAATCAGCGTTGAAATGTGCATGTTTTGATGTATGATATGTATGTAATTGTTTGCGATTTGTTTAGTCATCGTAATTAATTATGGGCACTCATGTGTGCACAAGGCTAAGTTTTAATTTTCCTTAAAAATGGTGCTCAAAATTATAATTTGGAATAAAACATATACATAATATACAGGTTAATTATTGTATGTTATATACATAGTAATAACTAATTTAAATAACATCCGAAAATTTTAATAACATTTTTCTTAAGTCAGTAATTTTAAACACAATATGGAATTTCAGTCTTATTATTTTTATATAATATTTAACAATTTTCTAAAGGCCCTATTTATTTTCTACAAACTTAATATATAATTATTTTTATATATATTTTTTAAATTGGTTTTATATTATGCTATTTTGATATTATAAATTATATATATATATATATATATATATATATATATAGTTTAAATTCATTTTATATTAGACTATTTTGATTTTAAATCAGAGCTTTCCAACCTATGGGACGCGAGACTGTTGCAAAAGTGGTGTGCAACTGTTTCCAAAATACTATGTTCGAATACAAACCGAAAAAAATCGATTTGATATAAATGAATGTTTATTTTGTAAAATTTTTTTTACATAATATTGTATTTTATTTTATAAAAATACTGTTTTTGAATAAAAACCTACAAAAGTCGATTTGATATAAATGAAGGTTTATTTTGTCATATATACTTTTACAAAATATTCTTTATTTTATTTTGTATCCCCTCAAATAATTTATATTTTTAGTTTATTATTTCTTTAGAAATTAACCTGTTAGAAAAAAAAATTAAGGGGGCGTAAATATAAAAAGTCAGAGACCACTGTTATAAGATCTAAAATTAAATATTTTGGAAAAATAAAAAAATTCCGAAAGAGTGTTTCAAATTCTATTCAGACTCATAAAATTTATAATAATTAAACTTTTTGGTTTTATTTTTTTTCAATTTTATTATTTATTTGTTTATGTATTGAAAAATAATATATAAATATAAAAAAGTAGAGAGAGATATAGAACGAGAAAGAGAGATAGAACGAGAAAAAAAGAGAAAGAGTAAGAAAGAGAGAGTGAAAAAGTGAGACAGAGAGAGAGAAAGAAACAGTGAAAGAGTGAGACAGAGAGAGAAAGAGATAGTGAAAGATTGAGACAGAGAGAGAAAGAGAGACAGACAGAGAAAGAGATAGAGGGACAGAGAGAGACAGATATAGGGCAAGAAAGAGAGGCACAGAGAGAGAGACAGACAGAGAAAGAGATAGAACGGAGAGAGAGAGAAAGACTTCATACTCTATTCAGACTCATAAAATTTATAATAATTAAACTCTATGGTTTTAAGTTTTGTTCAATTTTATTATTTGTTTATGTATTGAAAAATAATATGAGAAAGTAACATAGTAGAGAGAGAGAAAGCGACCGACAGAGAGAGAGAAAGAGAGACAGACAGATAGGGAAAGATATAGAAAGACAGACAGAGAGAAAGAGATAGGACGGAGAAAGTAAGAGAGAGAGACAGAGAGAGAAAGAGATAGAGAGACTGACAGAGAAAGAAACTGAGAGACAAAGAGATATAGACTGAGAGACAAAGAGATAGAGACTGAGAGACAAAGAGATAGAGACTGAGAGATAAAGAGATAGAGACTGAGAGACAAAGAGATAGAGGCTGAGAGACAAAGAGATAGAGGCTGAGAGATAAAGAGATAGAGACTGAGAGGCAAAGAGATCGAGACTGAGCGACAAAGAGATAGAGACTGAGAGACAAAGAGATAGAGGCTGAGAGACAAAGGGATAGAGGCTGAGAGATAAAGAGATAGAGACTGAGAGGCAAAGAGATCGAGACTGAGCGACAAAGAGATAGAGACTGAGAGACAAAGAGATAGAGGCTGAGAGACAAAGGGATAGAGACTGAGAGATAAAGAGATAGAGACTGAGAGGCAAAGAGATAGAGACTGAGAGACAAAGAGATAGAGGCTGAGAGATAAAGAGATAGAGACTGAGAGGCAAAGAGATTGAGACTGAGCGACAAAGAGATAGAGACTGAGAGACAAAGAGATAGAGGCTGAGAGACAAAGGGATAGAGGCTGAGAGATAAAGAGATAGAGACTGAGAGGCAAAGAGATCGAGACTGAGCGACAAAGAGATAGAGACTGAGAGACAAAGAGATAGAGGCTGAGAGACAAAGGGATAGAGACTGAGAGATAAAGAGATAGAGACTGAGAGGCAAAGAGATAGAGGCTGAGAGACAAAGAGATAGAGGCTGAGAGACAAAGAGATAGAGACTGAGAGACAAAGAGATAGAGACTGAGAGGCAAAGAGATAGAGACTGAGAGACAAAGAGATAGAGACTGAGAGACAAAGAGATAGAGACTGAGAGAGAAAGACAAAGATATAGAGAGACTGACAGAGAGAAAGAGAGAGGGACAGATAGAGAAAGAAAGAGAGAGAGAGATTCTTAAACAAAAATATAAGACATATCATTTCTTATATGTTAGGTTTATTGGTTTTTATTGGTACTTTATTCGGAAAATCATTTTTATCTCAAATGTTTTCAACAAAACTTTTTTTTCGCAATTTTCACTGATAATATAAGTATTGAAGTATAGTATATTAAATTTACAAGTTTCTTGTACCAAAAGTGCGTCCTGTAGAGCTCCTTAAAGAAAGACATGAGACAAAGACGTTTTGGTACTTGAATCGGATTTTGCTCAGAAAATCCTTTTTATCTAAAATGTTTTCAATAAAATCTAATTTTTATAATCATGCCTGATAATACCAAGTATTGATGTACAATTTGTCAGAGTTACACGTTTCTAGTACCTAAGGTGCGTTCTGTAGACCTCCTTAAGAAGAGACATGAGACAAAGACGTTTTGGTACTTATATCGGACTTTGCTCAGAACATCTTTGTATATATGTATATGAAATAAAATTGACAGTCGTTCCAAATTATTACAATTGTTGCATAACAACACAGTTTTTATTTGTCGGTCGATGCAATTATCTGATGTTTGAATGTTGCGCAACATCCCACACTCAATGGACTGTTGACCGAAATATTTTTAATAGTGTCAACTACTAGATGAATAGACTAAACAAAAATAACTTACGACCGAGAAATATACATCAGACGGAAGAGATAACACTGTTACAAAATTATGTACAAAGCATGTATCAAGTGTCATTGTAATTAGCCTTTAGAAGTGAACCTTCATTAGAGAAATGAAGTAATTGCTGATTAATAAATTCTATAATATTCGTTCACACAGTGGATTATGTTAAAAAACGCCTGAACAAATATTGTTTTTGCAACTTCACTTCACTTCATGTAATAATTGTGTTTGAGGAACTTCATGTAATTGAAATTAACATACATTCATTGACTGATGGTATTTTTTTTACTTTTTCGCCGGTGATATAATCTCATTCTTTGAACAGCTTTAATATCTGTTTTGTCTAAAAAATATTTTCCATTTTAATAACTTGAAAGATTTATAGAAACTACGAATAATATAGAAATAATTTCTAATCAATAAACTTACGTTTAGTACACGGCACAAATGTTTAATTTGTTTTATTATTTTCAAGGAACAGGGCAAAATATTCTTCTGATTCAGGCATTTTTCATTAAGTCAAGATTTGTACTACGATGTAACTTTAAAATGTTTATTTATCTATGCCGATTTCCTCGTTGATATCGGTACGCATATAACGTTGATGCCGATACGCATACAACGACAGATCTTTATTCACTCGATACGACGACTAATCGCAATCGACCCGTATAGAAATGATATTATCGAGAGCGAATGGCGAATCATTGGCACTCGACTCTTATCTTATCTTATCTGCCGTAACGCACTTCCGTTGCATTTGTACGGATTTACACACTAGTCGCGCCTAAATAGGTTTCACCTGAAATGGTAAATACAAAAAGTAGTTAATTATCCCAGTACAGTGTCTAAAATAATACCCCCGTCACGAACTACCAAAACAAAAAATGTGTAGAATTTATGTTAAAAGTTTATGTGAATAATAATATAACCGTTCACGCAGAAGGATAAAAATAGACTGACTGATTATATATTCTTCATGCATTACAAATATTATTAACAATCACATGTTTTACATAAAACAAAAGACAAACATATATACATAATCATAGTAGACACAGAGCGTTTAGTATCAAACTTCAACAAAATGTTCCAAATGTCATCGAGTGACAGTTTTGTATTTTGTTATGGATAAATTCCTAATCTCGACCAAATGGCTCCTGCTTCTGCTCAATGTCGTCCTTCCTTGCCTTTGCCTGGACAACGGCCTCGCCCTCACGCCGCCAATGGGCTGGATATCCTGGGAGAGGTTCAGGTGCGTCACTGATTGCCGGGACTTTCCTGACCAATGCCTGGACGAGAACCTGATTATGCAAATGGCCGACTTGTTGTCCAGCGAAGGATACTCGCAAGTCGGGTAAAAGAAGAAGATAATAAATATCACTTACACCTAGTGTTAGAACGAAATATCGAGTACTGAGTAAATATCGATACTTTACGGTCGATAGTGAGTACTTTTGCTATCGATTTTTTAGCTCGATCTATTTGCCAATATCGATTCTTTTCGTCGATAGTACTCAAAAAGAATCGACAGCGTAATCTATGAACACCACTCATCGACCAACTATTGACACCACTCATTGCCAAATGCAAAGCAATAGTCTCTCTAGGTGGTCATCATTGTTCAAAGAAGTGTCAAAAAATTATCCCGAAGGGTCATTAGTCTCAGAATTTATTGCTCAAAAACCCAAAATGAATATGACCGCATTAATAAATAAAGATGTTTATTTAGTACTCTTATATAAAATGAGATGGCTTTTTAAAGTACCTTAAATGTTTTATAAAAACATATTCAACAATCGAAGTATGATTATTTCAAATAATAATACTCACTAATTTTAATATATTAGTATTTTACGTAAAAAAGAATCGAAATATAATTATTTCGAATAATATTATTCATCAAATTCAATATATTAGCATTTTGCGTTTATTATATTTCGATTCTTTTTTACGCAAAATACTAATATATTGAAATTGATGAGTATTATTATTTGAAATAATTGTATTTCGATTCTTTTTTTACGCAAAATACTAATATATTGAAATGGATGAATATTATTATTTGAAATAATTGTATTTCGATTCTTTTTTTACGCATAATATTAATATATTGAAATGGATGAGTATTATTATTTGAAGGAATGTTTCTCTACAAGTGTCGAAATAATATCTTGACCGTCATTAAACTGAATGTTTATTGCTTTCCAAAGAGCTTCATATTGCACTTTTATGTAAACATGTAACGGCCTTTTTAAGTTGCATGCTCGCTAAAATTATTCATATAGAAATATTCAACAATTATAAAATATTATTTTACTTAAAAATATTAAAAATATTATTATTGTACTTGAAAATACTTAAAAAGTATTGCATTTTGAATATAGTATCAGTCTATTATATTGTTGTCAAAAATACTCAACTATTATAATTTGTCTTTTTTTTGAAAAATTATAGAATTTGAAATTAGTATTGAAGAATTACTGTTAAAATTTTACAATATTGAAAATGATTCTGATTTAACACATCAGATACAAGTAATAGAATTCATTCTAATATTGTGATATGATATTTAATGAGTTTTAGATCTTTTTGGGACTTATGTTTGATTTTTATGAAGAGTACTCAAAATTCGATATTGAGTACTATCGATACTTTCGCCACGATATTTTTTTGGCATCGATATTTTGATTAGATACTTTTTAAAGTACTTAATATCGATCTTTTGCCTCGATACTTCTAACACTAGGTGTAAGTTACACCTAGTTTCATATCCTTTCCTCCTCGTCCTTCAGATACAATTACGTTATCGTCGACGATTGCTGGTCGGCCATCGAGCGCGTCTTCTGCCATAAATTCGAGGATAAGGTCCTGATTCCGAGCAAGGAACGTTTTCCTCATGGTATTCCTTTCCTGGCCGAACACGTTCATTCTTTGGGCCTGCTTTTCGGCCTTTACGCCGATATTGGGAACTACACGTGCGCCGGATATCCTGGTAGCGCCGGACACTACGAGACGGATGCTTTCACGTTTGCGGATTGGGGAATTGATTTTCTCAAAATGGATGGGTAAAGAAATTTTTGTGATGAATTGTAGTGGACACGTAAATATCACAGGCCAACAAATTTTTTTTTTGTTTGGTGCATCAAATGTTAGAGCTGATTCTTATAGTATTTTTTGCGCCGATTTCAAATCTGCAAACCATTTTTTGTATCAGCTCTAGTTTGGAACTTGAAAAAGTTGCCAAAACCAGGTCCATTCTAGGTCGTCACGGAAAAGAACTTTTTACAGCGTCAACTAATGTCCCAACTAAGGCCGAATGGGTCTTGTAAGTTTGTATGTACGAGTAGGCATATCTCATTAAAGTTGTATTACTATTTTGTACTTTCGTTCCTTATATTAGGTGCGCAACTAAGTTCTCGCTGTTTGTCAGTATATTCTAGCAGTAAGGGTTGGTCGATTTTGACAAATCCAAAACGTCTTGGAGTAGTAAACAAGCTGCTGCGACACATAATTGATTTCGTTTTTGCATTATATACTTCTGGTTGAGTGAATATGCCCAATTTTATGCCAAACAATCGTCATTTGCGGGGAGTGTTGATTTTCGTTTTCCATTCAAAAAAACGGCAGCTCAAGTGCATCGAGAGCTACGGAAATGTTGCTATGACCGAAACAACATGCCGTGAAGGGTTTTGTCGCTTCAAAAATGGTAATTTTGATGTTGACGACCACCCTCGTGAAGGAAGGGCAAAACCTTCAAAAACGCTAAATTGAAGGCCTTGTTCGAAAAGGATTCGTGCCAAACTCAAGATCTTGTTTCGGAATTAAAAGTTACCTATCAAGCCATTTCCAAGCTATTGCATACGTTGAGGATGATTTAGAAGCAAGAAACTTCGGTTTCTTGTGAGTTGAAGCCAAGAGACGTCGAGCGTCGTTTTTTCGCCTGTGAACAACTGCTCCAGCGGCGAGAAAAGAAGAGGTTTTTCATCACATCGTGTCAGGTGATGAAACATGAATACATTACAGCAATCCAAAGAGGAGAAAATATCGGTTCGGCCGAATATTCACTGCAAAGGTTATGCTCTACATATGGTGGGACCAGGTCGCTGTTATTTTTTATGAGCTGTTAGAACTGAGCGAAACCATCACTGGAGAACTGTGTCAAACTCAATTGATGCAATTTTTTATAATAAAGTTACATTTTCATCGAAAGAACAGCGAACACTTAGTTGCGCACCTAATATATCATATATCATATCTTGAAAACTAAAGCTCATAGAAAAAATCAATGTCATTTTTGAAATCAGCGCCCCAAATATACTTAAAAACAGCATTAAAATCGTTTGCACCATTTTCTTTGTTGACCTGTGTAATTGATTTAGACGACGATAGTAATAGTAGGGCCAATTGTCAATACTTTAATTTTAATAGTGCTACCTATTGCCGTCTAAACGTCTTTTCTTGAAAGTTTGTTCTTCATGTTTGTGGACAAATTATTGAAAAATTCTCAGATGCCATTGGCCTCCGGAATGTCTTCCGCCCGAGTACATGAAATTCGGCCAGGCCCTAAACGAAACTGGCCATCCGATTGTCTACTCTTGCAGCTGGCCCTCGTATCAGCAGGACGTCAATATGTCTCCCAATTACGAATTGGCTGCCGAAACTTGTAACATGTGGCGAGGATATTTGGACATCCAGGATTCGTGGCAGTCGGTCGTCGATATCATAGGTTGTATTAGAACAACTACTTTTACCAATCAACCTTCTCCACTTGTCCAAAATACTATTCCCATTATCTACTATTACCAGATTATTATGCATCCGTCCAGGATGATGTAGCCCCAAGGGCAGGTCCTGGCCATTGGAATGATCCTGATATGCTTCTGGTCGGCGGATATGGCCTTAGCCCGGACCAGGCCAAGGCGCAGATGTCGGTGTGGGCCATCATGGCGGCGCCACTGTTGCTCTCAGCCGATTTGAGAACCATGACGGAGCAGAACAAGGAAATTGCCATGAACAAGGCAAAATAATAAAAGAATCTTAAAAATAAGATAGCATATGGATTAGGGAATGCAATACCGGTTATACCGGTATACCGAATTACCGGTAAACCGCCCGATTTTTTGGCGGTATTTTTACCAGTATTTACCCCAAAAATACCGGTATTTTCGGTATTTTCACATAAGCGCTATTTGATACATAATACCCCAAAAGTTTAAATTTCTCGGAACAAATTTATCTTTAAATTCCATAATCGCATAAACAGCTATATATTCAAGTGATTCTATAGAATAAACAAATGTCAAATATTATCTCAACTCGACATTAAACTTAACACTTACGGGACGGCACCGATTTCAAAACAATTCACCGGCTGCAGTGGCGTCGGACCCGTGTGGGCTGTGTGGGCTGAGCCCACCCATCAATTTAAAAAAATTATATGGGCTGATATTTCTAAAAAAAACGAGACCACTGGCTGCCTATCTATAAAAAAAAAAAACGAGTCCACCCATCAAAAATTTGCTTCCGACGCCATTGACCGGCTGTAAACTTGAGTGTATGTTATGCAATTTGTTCGATAAAAATTTGTGGTCATTGAAGGACATACATTTATAATATTAATTTATTTTTGATCATTTTACAAAGAATGGTGACGTTCAAAACAATTTCCAAAATGCATAGCTGGTTGATTTTGACATGTTTTACAATAAAATGTTGTTCCACGTCTTCCAGAATATGCCACTGATTAGTCAGTATATTTGTTCATTTTTGTATTGCCATAATGGTTTATTTTTTCTATTATATTGTCTAATAATTTATTTGTAAAATATAAAGTAAAATAATCTATTGGATGTCTTATATGCTTGGTATTTGTAGTCGGGGTGTTTCTTGATGTATGTTAAACTCGATTCTTGAAGGAGAATCGGCACATTCGCTAATGTCTTTCCGCTCTTCATTTAATTTGTCTAACTTCTTTTTTTTTTGTTGGTTGGATAATATCATCATCACATTCATCACTATATTCGGTGCGAATAGTAATTTCGTGAAATTTGTCTGTATGAATGTCTATTTGAAACTCATCTTCACTACTGCTTAATTCACAAAACTCACCAGTCGTTTGCCATATTTAAAAGCGCTCGGTCGTTTTAAATATTAAAAAAAAGACTATATAGCAAAGAAAAGGCTAAAAATACTACTAAAATAACTTATAAAATTATTTTCAAAATACAACACTGTTTATCACTGCTATATGTAATTTATTCAACTTTTCGATGCAAACTGAGTTATTGTTTATAAAATAGCCATAGTGCCTCACAGAGTATGTTTGTCCACTGAGGTGGACAGCCGTCCCCAAAGTGTTAATATTTATTGCTTTAATAAGGGCTTCATATCGCGTTACAATAAATAGAATTGGACTGATAGATAATGATGTTGTTTCATCTTTTGTAAAAATGTAACGGTTTCTTAAGTGATGTTTGCGCCAAAATATTTTATATCATACAGATTACCTCTGCGTAATCTTTATTTTTTTCTAACTTTATACATAATAATTATGATAATTACTAAATATTTTTGCTTCTTATTACAATCATAAAATAGTATTTTTCGAAAACGGTTCGAAGTTTGAAAATACTATAGAAGCATCACATTGTTTGAAATAACAATTTATCTTGACAAAGTATCCGATCTTAAATTAGTGTAGAAATTTTTTTTTTTTAAATATTGGAGATTGTGCTAATATAACACATCGGATACAGACAATACAGTTTATTATAATAATGTAATATTATCTTTTATGAGTTTTTGGTCTTTCTTACTCATACGTTTGTTTTTGGTGAATTGGATATAATTTTGTTTAGTTATTATTTAAAAAAATAAACTTATTGTTTTATTTTATTGTTTCCATTGTTTAGTTGAATATAGTTGTAGTTGTATACGAGGTCTGTTCAAAAAGTACCCGGAATTTTCGTTTTTTTCAAAAAAATATTTATTTATTCGTCTACATTAATGTGGTCCCCTTCAAAGTAGTCCCCCCCAGATATATACACTTATGCCAGCGTTTTTTCCAATTTTCGAAGCACCCTTGATATTCACTTTTTGATATGTCCTTGAGCACTCTCGGCGATTTTCTTCAATCGAGGAAAACCGCCGTCCTTTCATGGGTCTCTTCAACTTTGGGAATAGGAAAAAGTCACACGGAGCCATATCTGGTGAATTTTTGCACTTTTCAACACTTTATTTCATTTTTTACGCAAAATTTAATACAAATTCTTTGACTTTTCAATTCTTCCATTGTAAAAATCGCCGAGCTCAGAAAAACACGTCGAACCTTAGCGACTACCACAGACAAAGTAAACAGTGAATATAGCTGAAAATTTCATCATACTTTAGGGGCATGTATACCAACACAATAAAAAAAAAATTTTGACAATCAGACACTCCAGACCCGCGAAATTTAATTATTAGTAATTCCGGGTACTTTTTGAACACACCTCGTATATATATTTTTATATTTGTACTTTAACTTTCAATTTTGTTTACGTTTGTTTAAGATAATAAAAATACCGGTAATTTACCAGTATTCCGGTTTTAAAATGAAAAATTACCGAAATACCGGTATTGAAATTTTCCATCAGTATTGCATTCCCTAATATGAATATGCTTAATGTTATGCCGATTCTGTGCAGGGTGTAATAGCCGTTGACCAGGACAAGTTGGGTATTCAAGGTAGAAGATTGTACGAAAAACGAGGTCTAGAAGTTTGGACGAGACCTATTTTGCCAGTCTGGGATCGTTATAAAAGTCTCGCCATTGTCTTTTTTAATAGAAGGTAGATTAGACCACCAGTTGATTTGTTGGTGATTAATAGTGTTTTTGGTTGTGCCAATTGTGTGTGTGTGTATGTGTATATAGATTCGACGGAACCCCCTCGCAAATGACGGCAAGCCTGAAGGCCCTTGGCCTTTATTCGCCCCACGGGTATCGTATGAAGGACCTTTGGACGGGCAACGTTCATGCCGAGGTCGTGCCTTGTAATTCGGTGATCAAGGTAGAACAAAAAAATATAATTTTTATAACTATTATATAAAAGTTAAAATAATTGTTAACTAATATTCTTGTGTTCATTCACGGTTTGCATCATGGCTAAGCAAGCACTAGGTTATTGTCTTTGCTAAAGTGGCAATCTTATAGTGTTAGTGTTGAAAGCAGACCAAAGTGGCGCGCGGGTTTCACCATCGTCCTTCTTTTTTACTTATTTATTCTATTTCTCTTTTTTTCCTTTGCTCTTTTCTTTTCATAGAAATAGGACTCTACTGACGAATAAACTGAAATAATAAGCAAAATTAAAAGTAATTTTACTATCGAGCAAACTGTATATTTAGACATAGATGGACCGATTCTGCCGCACAAAATGTTATGGCAAGGCCATGTTATGAAGAACTTCTCATACAATTTTTTCTAAATATTGACAAAATGTGGTTATCGTGCAGTCAGGCGCATTTCTCAGGTTGTCAGATAGAAAACATAACATGGAAACCGCACAAATATCAAAAAACGATGTCAGATAACAGGGTCTTTCTGACCCAGCTTCATAACATACGAGTGATGTTGCAGTTTATGTGCAAAACGCCTGAATGCACAGCAAATACGTTACATTTTGACAGCATTCAGTATGATTCAGTAGCATAATGTATGGAAGTTAGAGCGTAACATGGCCTTGCGTAACATTGGCCTGTTATGAAAAAGGACTCAACTGACGAGCATAGTAAATTATTATATGAAATGAAATTTTACTGACGAGCAAAGTGAAATATAAGACTCTACTGATGACCAAATTGCAGCACGAGATAAAATAAAAAGAGATTTTACTGACGAGCAAACGAAAATACAAGACAAAATAAAAAAGGGACTCTACTGACGATCAAACTAATGCACGAGATAATGTGAGAAGGAACTCTACTGACGAGCAAACAGTGTATTTCAGACATAGAATAGAAAAAACGACTCTACTATCGAGCAAACTGTATTTTAGAAATAAAATAGAAAACAGACTCTATTTTCGAGCAAATTCATATATATACTAAGATGTTAAAATAACTCTACTGACGAGCAAAATAAAAATAAAACTTTCTACTGTTTAGCAATTTCTGGATTTGAGACATAGAATTCAAAAAGGACTCTACTGACAAGTAAATTGAAATACAAGACAAAGAAATGTTCCACTGACGAGCAAACTAAAATACAAAACGTAACTGACGAGCAAATTGTATTTCAGACATAAAGTAAAAACAGACTCTACTGAGGAGCAAATTGAAACAAGGCACAAATTAAAAAGGAACTCTACTGACGAGCAAACTAAAATAAAAGACAAAGTAAAAATAGACCTTACTAACAAGCAAACTGTGTATTGGTAGAAAAAGGACTCGACTGATGAGCCAACTAAAATACAACACGAAAAGGGACTCTACCTACGAGCAAACAGCCTGTTTTAGAAATTAAATAGAAAAGAGATTGTACTGACGAGAAAACTGTAGGTCAGGCATGGATTAGAGAAAACTCTACTGTCGTGCAAACTGAAATACACGGCTTAAAAAGGACTCTACTGTCCAGCAAACTGAAAAACAAAATATAGAAGGAACTCTACTGACGAGCAAACTAAAATACACGGCTTAAAAAGGACTCTACAGGCGAGCAAATTAAAATACAAGATAAAGTAAAAAGGGACTCTACTTACGAGCAAATTAGAAAAGGCCAAAAAGGACTCTACTGACTAGTAAACAAAAACAAAATACAGAGTGAAATAGAACTCTACTGTGGATCAAACTAAAATATAAAATAAAAGAGGACTCTACTGACGAGAAATTTGAAATACAAAACTTAAAAGGACTCTACTGACGAGCAAATTAAAATATAAGACAAAAGAAGACCTTACAGACGAGCAAACTAAAATTAGAAAAGGCCAAAAAAAAAGGCAAAGCAACAATTTATTAAAAATTAATTAGGAAATGGACTCTACTGACGAGTAAACTTAAACAAGAGAAAAAGGAAAAATGGACGCTACTGTCGAGCAAATTGCGTATTCTATAAAAAAAATGAAAACAGGGTTCTATTGACCATAAAACTGATGTCATGAAATATAAAAGGGGACTCTACTGTCGAACAAACTGAAACAAGAGACAAAATAACGAGGAACTTTACTGGTGACTAAATTGCGTATTTTTAAAAATAAATAATGGGACTCTACTAACGAGCAAACTGTGCATTTCAGAAATAAAATAGAAAAATGACTCTACTGACGAACAAATTGAAATAACGAAAGGTCAAAAGCAGAAGGAATTCTACTATAGAGCAAACTGTGTGTTTCAAAAAATAAATCAGGAAAAGGACTCTACTGACAAGCAAACGGCGTATGTCGGAAATAAATTGGGAAAAGGAATCTACTAACGAGCAAAATGTGTATTCCAGACATAGGGTAAGAAAATGACGTTACTGACGAACAAATTGCGTGTTTCGAAAATAAATTAGGAAAAAGACTCTGAGAAATGAACTGCAAAAAGAGCAAAGTAACAAGGGACTCTACTGACAAACTGAAAATCATAACATAACATTACCACATCCTATTTTATTTTCACATCTTCTTTCGCTTCTTTATTTATTGCTTTTTACTTCTAAAACTTATTTACCATCGCGCTCCTTTAGGAGGCGTCCATTAATCAGTTGAGCGAGTTTTTAAGGATTTTTGGACCCCCCCACTCTTTTGGTGATACATGGTGATATTCAAAATTACCACCCCCCCACCCAACCAAATATTACGTGTATTTTTAGTTACGTGATAAAACTGTAAATTTTGTTGAATTTTTTTTTGAAAGTGTTTGATTTTTTTAAGGAAATCAGTTAAAAAATAATTAAACGTGATATCTTACTATACCCCACGTGATATTAATGGACGCCTCCTTACCATGTGTCTCTGCTTTCAACCACCTAAATTTTTCCCTAAATACCACCTAAAATAAATCGTCTTAAGACCACATCTCCACCACCAGTTTATCCTTTGCCAACATTTTCCTCCGAAGGTTCGGATCAACCCTACCGGCGTGGTAATGCTGAAGGCGAGGGTTATTTTACCCTACAAGGAGGGCGAGGAGCCTGATGAGGAGGAGGACGAAGGCAGCCAAGATATGACCGATTGCTGCCCTTATCCGAAGCCCGAGAATATGACATGCAATAAATGCGACTATACCAATTATAAGAAAGGTTCCCGAAGTAACATTGTCGATGCGATAGAATACGAAGAAGACGACGACGATATTGATAATGGAGGAGATGGGGATGGGATTAGAGAGATTGAATAGTTGTATTGTTTTGTTTTTAAATAAATATTTAACTTATAAAAGAGGATGTTTTTTTTTGCTTGATTGACGTTTCAAGTTGTAGCGACCTGTCAACACACATCGCATCTCAACTTGACAGATAGACATTATTTTGGGCTCATCATAGTGACAGCACTGCGCGAAACAAAGTGAAAGCGTCAGTTCGGATCTCTCTATTGTTTCTCCCAGTCTAACTGCCAAAATTATAATTCACTAGCAAACCCGACGAACTCCGTTTCGCCACCAGATGGTTTCGTGAGAAAGATGAAGAATTTTTTTGCTTGTTTTATATTTGAAAAGGAATTTTTTTTTTATTACACAACAGGAATGAATTTATTTCGATTACAAAAATGAAGTGTTTTTTAGTTGAACTCCTCTAAGTAAATGATAGTGAATCCGCAAATTATCCGTTTGATTGAAGTGCTCTTTGGTAAACCACGTTTTTTGTTTTTTGGTCTGACGTTAACACAAACAAAGCGGATGGTTTTCCAACTTGTGAACAGACAACGTATAACTGCCCATGTGATAGATAATTATTTTTTTTAAATAATCTGTTTGAAATTTATCCCGCAAACACTAAGCGATTGGCCTTGCGGCTTGTTAGTTGTCATTGCGAACGCAAGGCGAACTGGAAATTGCAATCTCGCATTAAGGCACGATGCCATGCACACTTATTTTCTTAGCTATAAACCTTGCGGAACTCGAGACTTTTCTAACGAATGCAAAATTGTCGAATTCGGTTCGTGCGTTCTGGAGTTATTTCGTCAGGAAGGAAAACCCGACTTGTTTTTATATATATAGAAGAAGAAGATAACACTTTTTCCTTTTTTATCGTAAATACTAAAATACTATCTACATTTTATAAATGATGAATATAATTATACATAGTGTTGTTACTATTTAATCATAAATAAAATACATTAAATATCACCAACTGTTTCTATATATGGTGACTATTGTTTCTACAAAGTCATTCTGAATTGTTTGAGACCGAATTTAGAAAAAGTATGTGTTTTTTTAAGTAAAACTACTTTAGGCGCGACTAGAGTGTAAATCCGTACAAATGCAACGGAAGTGCGTTACGGCAGATAAGATAAGATAAAAGTCGAGTGCCAATGATTCGTCATTCGCTCTCGATGATATCATTTCAATACGGGTCGATTGTGATTAGTCGTCGTGTCGAGTGAATAGAGATTTTTCGTTGTATTGTGCACTGGAATACATCAACGAGGAGTTCGAAATGTCATTAGGTTTTAAGGGTACATAGTAGTACAAATCTTGATTTAATGAAAAATGCCTGAATCAGAAGAATATTTTATTCTGTTCCTTGAAAATATTGATTAATAAGATTAATGATTAGTAAGTTTATTGATTAAAAATTATTTTTATATTACTCGTAGTTTCTAAAATGGAAAATATTTTTTAGGCAAGACAGATATTACAGCTCTTCAAAATAATAAAAATACAAGCGGTCAATGAATGTATGTTAATTTTAATTACATGAAGTTCTTCAAACACAATTATTACATGATGAGTGAAGTTGCGAAAACAATATTTGTTTAGGCGTTGTTTAACCCTTCTTTGCATGGCGATGGAAATTTCAATCATAATATTTAGTCAACAAAAAAAGTACTAAAAACCCCTGTACTGTAAATTTGTTGTTGCTGGAAACATTTTAAGCGACTAAGGCGTACAACAAAATGCATTTTTTTTAAAAATAGCAAACGTCTCTCTTAATTACCAGAATTAGAACTTGTCATTTCGCTGTTTGTTGTGACTGGAAAAAAGGAGCGAGTTCTCAGTTTGTTCACTACGAAGATATAAAATACAGTAAAAGTGAAAATGAGTAAGAAAATGCTTTGTTTTCATGTTTTTGTTGTTTTATGTACAATTTATATCAAAACACTGTGAATAAAGTTCTCAAAACTATGTGATGGAAATTTACATCACTATGCAGTAGTTCCACTTGTAATGTATGGCAAAGATTTTTTTGCAAATGCTTTTTGTGTTGTTTTTTGAAAAAACAGATTATGATTTGTATAAGTTCTTTGGTATATTATTCTACATGTCAATAATCAAAATTTCTAGCACAAGGTCATACTGGTCGCCAAAGTTCGAATAATAAACTAATGGGAGAAGTAGATCTCATGGAAACTTTCTGTTTTCATGAGAGTCCTTTTTTAATTTGTTCTGTAATTTTAATTTGCTTGTCAGTAGAGTCCTTTTCAATTTTGGGCAGAAATCATATAACAAAGAGGTTTAAAAAGTGGTATTTGCATATTTTTTATCTATTTGATAAAGCTATTATAAACTCTTGGAATGTTTATAAAAAATGCTCAAGAAAGAGGTGAACGTAAAAAGAGCCTGCTTACAATAGGCCAATTCGGTAAATGTGGTATCAATTTGTGCTTAAATAAAAATGATTGTTTTTTAAACTATTATAAAGAGTAAAGTAGGTTGAGTAAACAATATATTTTATATAGTTCTGAGCTAGATGTGTGGCAATCCATGATTATGTAAATTTCCATCATATTGTTTTTCACATACTACATATTTCTATTTACATTAGGATTTTTTAAAATATTTTTTCTTTAATCTAGAGCATTAATTGCATCACCCTGATTTATTTTATTAAAATAGAAAAAATCATGCAAAAAATTGTTAACATAATCCGCTGTGTGAACGAATATTATAGAATTTATTAATCAGCAATTACTTCATTTCTTTAATAAAGGTTCGAATCCTAAATGCTAATTATAATGACAAACCGATCACGTCATATTTGAAGTATGCCTCTAATTACATTATTATTTTTAAACATTATACATATTTTTAATGCTACTATAAATAATTAATAATTTATCATTATATAAATGTGTATAATGGTCGACACTAATAAATGTGTGCATCAAGAGAGTCTTACCATATTACTAATGAGCATTATTCAAAATTGTTATATGATGTATTTATCGTTAATTTAAATGCCATCTTGTACAGTAGCAAATAAGTTTTACTTCAATCGCGTGTGAACCTTACGCGCACTCTTTTTTCAGCGAAAGCGAACCTATTATTTTTAAAATAAGTCCTTGAACATTTGACCCAAATAAGTGAATCTGAATTATTAACTTGCCTTAAGGCAAAATGCCACTTGCAATTTGTTTAGGTTTTTCTCAATGACTCACGAAGTCATTATAATTATTTTAATGCATATTTCCATGACAAGTCGAGCAAAAAATTATTTGTTTGTTGTTTATTTTTGTCCTTGTGCAAAAATAGTTTTTGCGGTGTAATGACATTGGAATTATTGTTATTAACAAAAAAAAACTTAAATTAAGATAAAAAACAAACAAATGTAGTAATTCGGGAGCTTTATTTATACATAAACAAATCATGATAAATAATTATTATTGTTATTTTAAGCCTTTGTTTTGTTAAAATTGATTTAAAGTAAGTAAGTCAAGTCAAGTCAAGTCAAGTTTTCGCGTTTTAAAAGTTTCTAAACATTTTGGCATACCTTAGAAAAATTCCTATATTTCTGAAGAATGGATGTATGTGTTTGTGTGTGTGTATTGCACAGTAGTTAAAAAACATTCGATTTGTATTGATGAGAAGACATGCAAAGGCAGCTCCAGCCGTTGTGGAGATATGGAGCAAAGAGTACCAAAAATGGTAACCCAGTTTTTGAGAGAACGGAGCGTCCGATTTGAATGATTCAAAAAACATTTGATTTGTATTAACAAAATGAAGAACTCATTTCGGAGCGATTTCGAAAATTCAATTCGAGTTTGTCTGTAAAACAGCTTCGCGATTGCTTTGAAAAAAAATTTTTGCGAAAATTCAAAATATGAAAAAAATCATTTTTTTTAAAAATGTTCAAACTCTATTTTTTCTTCAAAATGTTCAAACTATTTTAAAGCTTTTTTAAACTTTTGATATGTATGCAATTTTAAGGCACAATGCCAGCACCACTAGTTCAAGATTTACTATATCACCTAAAATATTATAGGCTTATGAGAATTATGAAAAAATATTAATGTTTGGAATAATTGACCGCTTTCAGGACATACACCGTGTATGCTCTTCTAAGTCATTTTTACATATAAAGATAAAAATCGGTATAAACTAGGATTTATACAAAAACCGACATTTCAGAAAACCGGATTTTGAATTTCAAATTTACCAGAAAACCGGTTTTATCCAGTTTTCGAATGTAGAAAATAAATGTTTGCTCGAATATTCTGTAATAACAAAAATTTATCCGCAAATTTAGTGCGATTTGAAGCACTGAATTTATTTATTGTTCAATTTCATAGATAGTAAACAAAATTATTTTAATTTTACTTAGTTGAACTAAAAAATAATAGTTTATCTTGATTAAATAATTTTGAAAATAATTATTCGTTATTCATGCATCATTTTCACATATAAGAATGAAAATATTTTTATGATAGTGAAAGGAAAGTTTTCGAATAAATAAAAGTAATACATTTTTAAATAAAAAACATTTATTAAATTAAAAAATAAAATATTAAAAATTATTAGATACATGTTGATACTGGTTAATATCAATTTTTGTTAAAAACAATTAAGCTAAACTTAATAAGCTAAAATAACAATTAAGCTAAAAGCCCGAGTACTTTCTATTCCGAGCAATTTTAATTACTTAATTTTAAAAATTCTAAATATTCAGAAATTTAGATTTAAAAAAACTGAGAACGTCTATTGATTTTATTATTCCGAAATATCCATCAATTGAACTATTTATTTCCTTATCTATGTTCTTACCAATCAATTCAATTCCTTATATTATAAATTATAAATTTGACATTTCATTTAATTATAGTTTTTAGTTAAAATATTCATCTAAATAGCTCAATTCTTATCCCATTGATTTATGTATCAGAAAGTTCATGCAACTTGCCACTTACGCTTAGTTTAAAAAACCCTTCAAATTTTCTAATGTCAAAATTTTTTAAGTTGAT